AATCATTGTCTGTGCACCCTTCCGACAAGATCTCTGGTTACGCCCCTGCTTTTACTTTCTAGAAGTTTCTATAGAAGTCATCAGTTGTATGGAATGTTCTAGAACTTTCTATGTAGGTTTAGGTTTTATAGGGTTTTCCAGAAGTTTCTAGAATTAGTATTTTTCTAGAATGTTCTAGATGATGTAATTTACTATTTTTAGCACATAACCATTATGTCATTCAGATTGTGCAAGAATACATAAGGAAGTCTGCATGAGTGGTGAGCTAAGAAAAGGTGACGTAAGGTGAGCGTATCGGAAGCATGGGTGGCGTAGCGGTGAGAGCGCTCGCCTCTCACCAATGCGGCCCGGGTTCGAGTCCCGATGAGGTTGGTGTTGTATGTGAGTAGAGTTGTTTATTGGTTCTCTCCTGTGCTTCAGGGTTTTTCTCCAGGTTCTCCGGTTGTCCTCCATCCGCAAAAACCAACTACTAAATTCCAATTCAATCCTAGGAGATATTCATGATAGGGCTAACCTCAATATCTCCTGTCGCACTCACTGATGCGAATAAAGTAGTGTTTAAGTGCTTGAGGGCTATTCAGTGGGGTTGGTACAAAACGAAGATCAAAAACCAAAGACCCCCCTCCCCAATTTAACAAAAACAGAGCTAAAAAAGCGGATACAAATCAAAGAGATTTGCAACCAACATGGTTTTTGGCGGGATCTTCGTTTTGTATAATACCCAGGAAATATGCAAAATGAAGATCCCAAAATTTACCTGAAACAGTACTGAAAGACTGATTAAAGACTGAATAAAAGCATGAAGATGGTGGGGTCTTCGGTCTTCATTTTGTACCCTCCCCCCCTCTCCCTTCAGTACTTGTATGCTGGTCAGGGTTCATGGACCAGTCAGTCAGTTAGTTAGTAAGTGAGAGTCAGCAACTTAACAGGTCAAGTGGTAAAGAAGACTAGAGCGGTAACTGAAATAGCTAGCTAGCCAACCTGATACTTGTAAGTATGAGCTAATCCATTGGTTGACTGGAGACCTGTGGTTGGTCATCCCGATCTACGACATTTAAGCGCGGACAAACGGCGCAACATTGCCCGCAATGTTGCATGCAATTGATGTTGCGAGCCATGACACACGACGCAATTTATTGCACGCAACATTGAAGTAGTAGAAAACTATCCTATTTCAGCAACATTGCCTGCAATGTTGTGCGCAATTTTGCACCGTGTGCTTGCGCCTTTACAATTCTGCTTAGGTGAACGATTCCATAGATAAGGTTTTACTGGACGTATTCTCTGCCATTAGATTAGCATTTGTCTAGTTTGAAATGTCAGTGGCTGCTATATTAAGTTGATCATTAATTTCTCTGGCGTTAGTGCCAAATGTTAAGATTATAGTCGTATCATTGGCAAAGATCGTACTGTCATGCTTAGAAAAGTAATGAAATAACATCATTGATCAGAAGTAATAATAGAATGAGAGAAAAGCCAGAATAATCATTACCATCATCTTCATCTTCATCTTCATCAACAGGGGCAGATGGTAAGGTGGCTGCTGCCTGTCCAGTCCCATCACCAGGGGTGGCTGCTGCCTGTCCAGTCCCATCACCAGGGGCACCATCTGTACTGGATGTAGTTGTAATTTCTTTGAGTGGAAAATAAGAAATATATTTATTGCATCAATTCATAAACTTTCAAGCGCCATTTGTCATACCATTACACCAAGAGAGCATAAAGAGAGGGAAACTTCTTATAACGTGCGCACCATGATGTAAATGTCTGTTGGGCTATTTTGCCTTACCCTACTCCTGTACATCATCAACTTTCCGTTTTGTTTTTTAGTGATCAAAACCAGGATCAAAACCTGGATCAAAACAATAAACAGAAAGAGTGTGCATGCACCAGTTGATGACACACGGGAGTGGGGTAATACGAAATTAGATACAGTAAAAACCCGCATAAAAGAACACCCATTTTTGGAGTTGAG